AGCTTTTTATTTCAGATAAATGCTGATCTTTGGATCTTTCTATTCATCAAAGAATCCTGAAAAAAATTTACTTAAAATGTACATAACTGTTTTAAATATTGATAATAATAATAATAATGTTTCTTGAAAAACATTAAAAATCTTACTGTTCAAAAACTTTTGACTGATAGTGTACACGTCTTGTCACGCTTTATAATATTTTATCAGATAGAAATTGCTACTTGTGAGTACAAAAAAAAAATTGCAACCTAGAGAATCATATGAATTCATTGGTAATAAAAAGTCTGCATTATAGAGAACATTACATTTTTGGGATTGTGGTATTTAATTATTTGAATTATCATTATTAAATTCTTTTAATATTTTGCCACTCCTAGTTTCTGTAAATAGTCAAGTCAAGTCTGCTTTATTGTCAATTCTTCCACATGTACAGCACATACATACAGAGAATAGAAATTGCGTTACTAAGCAGCTTTGTCATTATGTCAGAAGTATTATAAATACTGTGTTTGGCAATGACGGGCTTGGAGTGAGAAGCGTGTGATCTGCTGCTGAACGTGATGCTGATCTTACAGCAAGGAGAAGTCTGAGAACACAGAGCCCTGCACTGACAAGAAGAAGATGAAGGAGGAGAAGGAGAAGGAGAAGGAGGAGGAGAAGCCTGAAGATGTAAGTGTTTTCAGACATCATCTTTCTTTAGATGTCGTCTTCTGAAGCGCACTGCATATTAACCCGATTCATGTTGATTAAGTGGATAACCGCGTGCAACGGTTGGTTCTGCAGCAGGACTTTGACCAGAACACTCTGGAGGAGGAGATGAGGAAGAGGAAGGAGCGAGTGGAGAAGTGGAGGGAGGAGCAGAGGAAGAAAGCCATGGAGAACATCGGAGAACTCAAGAAGGAGCTGGAGGAGATGAAGCAGGGGAAGAAGTGGAGTCTGGAGGACGACGACGGTCAGAGAGCACACCGCTCGTGTAGAAAAAATAACACATGTGACATCTTCAGACAAAAATGACTAATTTCGCATTTTTCCGTTCAGTTTTCTCATAGGGATTTTTAAAAAGTCGACATTAAAGAGCTATAAGCCATGAACCGAACCAAACATCTACAAGCAGAATCACAAAACAAACAATCAGACAAAAAAAAAAATCAAAGGTAGAAGACTTGAGTATTGCCAGCTCACATTAAACACATTGTTGTGTGGATGCACATATTTGATTGGCCATCCCAAAAACTCTGAACTGTGATTGGCTGCCTCCCACACCAGGGGCGGGGCCTTCAATGAACCACAATAAACTCCAGTCAGGGAGCGTTTGTTTTGTTTACAGCGATCAGAGCGATGTTTATATTTAATGCAAGGGAAGAGAGTTTAAAGAATTGAATTGTTGTGTGTCCTGGACCCGCTGGACGCTTACATGGAGGAGGTCAAAGAGGAGGTCAAGAAGTTCAATATGGGCACCATGAAAGGAGGCAACGACAAGGTGCTTCTAGTGCTTTTACACCAATACCTCCCTCAAACCGAATGAACGTGCTTCTCTCTTCTGGAGCGGCTCTTTCCTGTTCTGTCATCAGTGATCAGCAGAGTTGGGAAGGTTACTTTAATTACAAGTTACACTAGTTAATGTAATAAGTAGTGTAACTATTTCAGTTACTTTATTAAAGTAATTTTGCATTTGATTACTTTTCTAAATTTCTAACGAATGCTTTCAACTGTTAATCATTTTCAAACTTGTAAAGCAGGCAGGTTAATCTTACAGTAGAACTCAACTCTGATTACTGCCAGACTTTCACAATCCTTCATCTCTTGAATTAAGATTATAATAATTTAATTTTAAAGCACAGCCAGCACAAAATCAGACTTTAGCACCTCTTTTTACTTTGAGATCGTTCTGAGCTTAAAAACAGATTTAAAATCATAAGATATAATTTAATAGCTATGATACTGTTTTTGAAATCAAATCTTTGTATAGTAACACTGGCATCTGACAATGCTTTGGAAAAAACATTTAATCTTAAAAAATAAAGCATGCGCATAAAACAGTTATCAAATAAGCAACTCCTGAAACATTGGTGTCTCATATTTTAAAGCAGTCAATACAATTTGGTAAAGAAATCAATCACATGTATGTATGTGAAAATATTCAGATATACCCCCTTTGTAATCTTTAACATTTTCATAAGTAACTAATTTAATTACACATTTTTTCTCAGTAACTGTAACAGATTACAGTTACATGTATTTTGTAATTAAATTATGTAATTCCGTTACATGTAGCTAGTTACTCCCCAACACTGGGGATGGTTGACCCGCTTTGACCAGTCTGATGCTTTAATGATGCTTCTGGAGCTGAACAGTCCCAGTGCCCACACACTGTATGCAGAAGAGTGCTGTGGATTTTTAGGCTAAATAAATGATTATTCAAATATAGCTGAAAATATGAATCATGTGTCAGCAGAAAGGCAGTGTGTCTGTGACCAAAGTGGTGACCGTTGTGAAGACGAAGAAGATGGTGCACACCACCAAGAAGAAAGGAGAGCTGATGGAGAACGACCAGGACGCCATGGAGGTACAGCTTCATCAGCACACACGTGTTTCTGTGTCATTTAGAGTAGATTAATCTCATCCAAACACGCACATGTCATGTTTATATGTGAATATCAGTGATGGTTTAGTCATCTGTGCGTTAAACTGCGCTTAAATCCACACTCTCCGGTCACGTATCACACTTCAATACGCCGACAGAATGCAGGTTAAAGTGTTTGCATGCCGGCGAAACCTGGGAAATGGTAAAAATCTTTCTGTGCTGATGGCTTTTTTCTTAAGCTTACGTTGTTAAAGGAAGATGGGTTAATGTGTTTGCTTGAGCACACGCGTTATCATCTTAAGATCCGTCCGTTTGAAAACATGCACGTAAATGTGCTCATCGTTTGTATAGCATTTCAGAAAAGACTTTTAAACAGATCTTGTTTGCAGTAATTCAAAAATAGGAGTAAATGTCTCAATGCAAAAAAAATAAGTTGGGCTTAATTTTCTTTATGCAAGAAATATTATTTTATTTATATTATTCATTCATTTGAGGACTATAAATTGACTATTGAAGTATTATATTGGCAAACCAGAGGTTTGAGGTTTTTATTAACCAGGAAAGATTATTAATGAGGTCAGCTGAAACTGGACTGACATGAAATAACAGATCAAGAAAGATATGCACATGAGTTCCCTAATGCCTCAATACAAACACGTGCGTGTGTGTGTGTGCGCGCGTGTGTGTGTTTCGGTGTGTGCAAAGACCATCGCCTTCCTGCTGCCCATGTTTCGCCACATCTTAGACCAGCGGCCGCTGGGAGAGGCAGAAGGACCCATCGGTGAGTCTCATCCTGATCGTCTTTATTGCTCTGCTTCATATCTGCGGAATAAAACCCAACACCTGTTTCTTACTTGATTTAGCTGCTCACTGCACAAACAATCTGTGTTCTGTTCGAGTGTGTCACGCTTTCTCAGTAAATATGATGCATTTCATAGCATTTTAGTTTTTGACAAGCATTTGTGACCCTGCAGCACAAAACCAGTCATAAGGGTCAATTTCTCGAAATTGAGATGTATGCATCATCTGAAAGCTGAATAAACAAGCTTTCCATTGATGTATGGTTTGTTAGGATAGGACAATATTTGGTCGAGATACAACTATTTTAAAATCTGGAATCTGAGGGTGCAAAAAAATCTAAATATTGAGAAAATCATCTTTAAAGTTGTCCAAATTAAGTTCTTAGCTATGCATATTACTAATCAAAAATTAAGTTTTGATATATTTACGGTAGGAAATTTACTAAATATCTTCATGGAACATGATCTTTACACCATCATTATCCTAATGATTTTTGGCATAAAAAAAAATCAATAATTTTGACCCATACAATGTATTGTTGGCTATTGCTACAAATATAGCTGTGCTGCTTAAGACTGCTTTTGTGCTGCAGGGTCACATATGTGCAGTGAAGACTTGTATTATTCCTTAAGGCGGGCGTACACGGTGCGATTCTGAAGGTCGGCACGTCGTGAGCTCTGGCACATGTCACGATTGAGTTTATCCGAAAATCGTACGGAGGCAGTCACACACGACACGAATTTACTACGATTTTACAAACTCTGACGTAAGCATTACGTTTCGCGCCATTCATAAAAATATGGATTCTGAGGACGAAATAGTTTTCTTTGTGGCAGGCGGCTTGTGACGTCCAAAAAAAAAGAAAAACTACGAAGACAAAGGACATGGCAAAGAGAATGGCTGAAAAGCAGAGAAAAGCATGGACTTTCTGTTCTTCATAAAGAACTCGAGGGAGTAGGCCATTTCTGAATTTCTGCTCGTTTTGCCGGAAATACAACAGGCATATTCATTCATAAAGCTGAACGGCAAATTTGGCACATTCGGAATAACAAATAAAAAATAGAACTGTATAATTAAACTAAAATTATTATAGACTATATGGTTTTTGTCATCTTCTGATTGGTCAACTTCAGATGGATCACCAAATGGTCTCGTTCAACCGCACATACGCCACGAATTTAAACCGACAGCATCCGATGCGGACCGGCCCGTAATTCTTCTCACAGGGTACGAGCCGCGACCATATGAGCATCTGCGATTTTCTCCCGAGAGAAAAAAATCGCCTGCGAGCTCGTACGACAGCAAAAATCGCACCGTGTACGCCAGCAGAAAAACTCCTCAAACACGATTCCTATCTGAATCTGAGCCAAATTATGAGTCTGTGTTCGATTCACAGCCTATTTTCACATGAATGGCATTATTTCATGCCTAATCCTGATTCTAAGGTCAGAAATATGGCCAGTGACAGAAGAAAATGCAAACATGAGCCTGATGTTTTCTACATCTGTGGGTGTTTTGCTGCATCCAAACAGCGGCAGAAAATGACAGATTTTGCGAAAAAAGATTATTTTTTAAAATTTCTTTGACATTAAGTTTTTAAACACATTTTCCACTCATTTGCAGATCAGAGGTTAAACTTATTTTTGTCAGACCTTTGACGTTGATTGCTTGTGTTATTTTGACAGGTGCATTGAAGCTGTTCTGTGTGTGGGCCATTCTACAGAACTGGTGCAAACTGCTGTCCCACACCCAAAAAAACACATTTAAACAGCATTTAGGAATTCATATCTTAGATATTTCCTAAGATACTTCTATTATCTATTGAAGCCCACAATAATATTTAAAATATCAGTACGTTTAATATAAAAAAATAATTTATTTATATATAATTTATTGGGTACTTTCAATTGGAAGGTAGCTGTCCTGAACCCAAAACCCTAAAACTTTTAGTAAAATAGCAAAAAAATATATTTACAAGGTAGATGTAAACAAAATCTTAATAGGCCTAGTATAACCCTTCTTATTAAATTATATATTTCTGTGTTTCGGTAGTGACAAATTTGAGGAGAGGAAAAATATTCCAAATCTTTCTGAAAATAGAATATGAGAATTAACTGCACAATTAATAGAAATGTGTACCTTAGATATTATACAATTTGCATGCATACAAAATTTGTGGAAAAAGACACATTTTTTTCAAGATGTTTCCAACTACTTTGAACCAATTCTGTATAAAGTCCTATGCATGATTTGAAAAATTCTGGAAAGTTTCTAAAACTAATTTTATAAAGCGGATAGTTCCGGTGCTTGATTCTGATTGGCTGAGCCGCATTCGAAGCTGTTGTAAATTACTCTACAAACATACACCTTTGTTTACGTTTGTGTGTTGCTCGGCAACCACTTTGTAGCAACCACAACTGTTTCTGAGGAGCTACATTGTTTGGTGGAAGAATACTGTTTTTATTAATATCATTACACTTTATTTGCTCTTTTATTTTGTGAAACCTTACTACGTATATGGAATAACCGTTTTATAAAAGCAGTAAGCCCCGTGAAGCCGTGGTTTACAGTGAATTTATAACAGCTAAGAGTAAGTATCAGAGTAATATCTGTGTTTCTCTCCGTCAGCCGTGATCATGACGCCGACGCGAGAGCTGGCGCTGCAGATCACCAAAGAGTGCAAGAAGTTCTCCAAGTCTCTGGGTCTGCGTGTGGTGTGTGTGTACGGCGGCACCGGCATCAGCGAGCAGGTGTGTGTGATCCGCTTCATCACGCTTCATAACCTCTCACACAGAACCTGCTCTAACCCAGTGTGTGTCTGCAGATCGCAGAGCTGAAGCGCGGCGCAGAGATCATCGTGTGCACTCCGGGACGCATGATCGACATGCTCGGTGCCAATAACGGTACGTGCCTCATGAGTTTGTGCTGGATATCATCACACGCATGCATCAGCTCCAGCTTCACGTTCTGTGGAAAGCAGTGATCCGGCTTCAGTTAACAGCGTTATTAGAGCTCACTGAAACCATACAAAACATTTTCATTAGTTGAAATGAATGTTAACGGAAATAAAATAACATATAGAAAAATTAAATGTGTTTTATTTACAACATTTAACATGTTCGTTTAGTTTATCCTAATGTACTAAAATAACTAAAATTGAAATTACAATTAATTCAAAGAAAACTATGTAGACAAAAGCACACAACAGAATGACTAAAACTGTAACTAAAATTAACATGAAAGCAAAAAATATAAATAAAATCTAATTCAAAATATTAACAAAAACTATAATATCAAGGCATAATGTCACAATTTACACAATCACACTTACACTGGAATGGGTATGGGTCAAAATTGTAAAAAAAATGTTACCAAAAATCATTAGGATATTAAGTAAAGATCATGTTCTATGAAGATATTTTGTAACTTTCCTACCGTAAATATATCAAAACTTAATTTTTGATTAGTAATATGCATTGCTAAGAACTTCATTTGGACAACTTTAAAGATGATTTTCTCAATATTTAGATTTTTTTGCACCCTCAGATTCCAGAATTTCAAATAGTTGCATCTCAGCCAAATATTGTCCTATCCTAACAAACCATACATCAATGGAAAGCTATTTATTCAAATTATGCATAAACCTCAATTTCAAAAAACTGACCCTTATGACTGGTTTTGTGCTCCAGGGTCACATTTAATTAGTCTTTACTATACACCATAATATTGTTAGAAACCGCATCCCCTCTATCAGAATCTGTGCATTTTTGCAATATTACTTTTTTTTAATGCTACCTTATGACCTATGCCATTCATGTGTTGGTTAATGCAAATGTCTTCAAGCATCTTTCTAAAACAACAATATAAATATAATTCGGCACACAATTGCATCAGTTTCAAAACTAAAAAGGAGCGTAATGTATAGAGTCACCTTTATTTCTCGTCTCTGTGAAACTGCTTAAAATGTGTTAAAATACAAATGCATTGAATTTAATGTGCAAACACTGAAATTTAGTTGAGATTAAGGCTGCCTTTTTTGTTTATGTATATAAAAATGCGCTCAGAATACCTATTTTTTCGTGTTACGTGTGTCATGCAATAGTTGCCAGGTTTATCAGCTTTTTATGCTCATAACACAAGTTACTCATACAAGATTCACTCTAGTCTGATGTTTTCAGGTATACGGTTCATCAGTTGTGAATGTAAGATTTGGAGACTGGATTTCTCAGTGTTTTGCGTTCAGGTAAACTAAGCGCACTAACTAGAGCAGGAGCGGATGTGCCGTGTGTTTCCACACATGCGAGGTAATCTCTAATATGTTTCCTTCATAGGTCACACTTCAGGCGGCTTCAGCTCAGTTAATGTTTGATGTGGCTCTTGTGAGTTTTACTCTGATGGTACGCACGTTAAGCAGTTCTGCGTGAAGGACTCCGGCTGTAGTTTGCCTGTCGTTTGCTTTGAGCTGCTAGTAAACGTTGCTGTCTGCAGCATTCACTCTGCTAAACGTGCTGCTGTTGTGTTGCGCAGGTCGCGTGACCAATCTGCGCAGAGCCACGTATGTGGTGATGGACGAGGCCGACCGGATGTTCGACATGGGCTTTGAACCACAGGTCAGTCTCTCTCCTGCCACACGACGCACTATTATAAAACAGTTCCGGTGCTTGACTCTGATTGGCTGAGCCGCGTTCGAAGCTGTTGTAAATTACTCTACAAAGTAACACACCTTTGTTTACGTTTGTCTGTTGCTCGGCAACCACTTTGTTGCAACCACAACTGTTTCTGAGGAGCTACATTGTTTGGTGGAAGAATACTGTTTTTATTAATA